AGCATTGTTTTATTCACCACTGTGCTGCGTGTCATTTCCGCAACATTCTTAAGAGAGCGATCAAAAAAAATTTCTATTACAGCTCTTTGTGTTATGCTCCTACAATTCAAAAAGACCCTTAACAATAATGTGCCATATGATTTATTCTCTTTATTGCGCCTTTTTTTCACTATGGAGGAGCCACACAATTCAGACATGCTGAGCCACCTCGCTCAAAAAAATCTGTTTTCCGAGGAGAGGCAGGCAAAGTGCGTAGTGTTGTAAAGACTTTTGATCCTGTTCTGGAGTGGCATAAACTTCTGCAAATGTATGTTTGTTTACCACACTTTTGAGGGTTCGTTGAACTGCATCAAATTGTGTCTTGTGCATGTCCGGACGTGAGCATGATTTGGAAACTATTGAAAATGATTGAACACAATTGAAACCCGTGATATAAAATGTGCTTTTACAATTTATCACTTAGTTTCTTACGAGTACTTATTCAAGGCTACACTATCATCTAACTTAGCCGAACATGAACAGACACAATCCACAGTTGCAATAATTGTGGCAATGTCGAAAAAACTTAGCATATTCCGTGCGAATGCACACCGTACTGCTCCTAGAGACAGTCGCACGGCAATACACTCGATCGACTGAACAGCCTGACTCCTAAAGGAGGGCTCCTGTGCCGCCGATAGAACCTTACGTCAGAGAAGAAGACTGTGAAGGCACTGCTGCACTTTTTGCGTTCAACCGTTCTTTTTAAAAGACTCCGATCAAAAGATCCTGCATGTTTTACATGCGCATTTTTTCTTGCTATGTTTCATTTTTCCATCTACTCTCTTTTCTACCCTTTTCCCCATCTCTGCACTGGGAAGCCGACCAGTTAGTATACCAGGTTAACGTCTCTGTCTCTTTTCAATTATTTCTCTCTCCACAGTGGTGCCATTATATTCTAAGGTGCTCCTGGATTGCTTTTAGCACATTGTATTGGTGCTCTTTTGTTTTTTCAAGAAGGGAGCACCCCTTTAGTCCTACGCACCTCTTACGACAAGAGTTTTATTGAGTAATTAACCCCTCAACACAAGACACACACAATGTGTAGTGATTGGTTGATTAGTGGTGCACGGTTATAGGGTAGGGTCTGCTTAGCAAAGCCGCTATAGCTTCGCCGGCGCTGAAATCATTCTTCCATGCTAACTGTTCAGCCAACTTTTTTTCAACCGACGGGAAACGTCATGCGCAAAGGGTATGAATATAGTTCCTTTGCGGCCAATATATTAGCGCGAAGCCTCAGTATTGAGGTCTTTTTTGTATGTGTAACAGCTTTTAAGTTACAGATGACAGTAGGATGGCTGGGAACCCAGCGCCAAAAAGCGGTTAAGTTTGATTTGAGAAACTGCGCTGCATGACATGGCTTTCTAAAGGCTTGTAGTTCTATAGTGTAGCTGTACACTAGGCTTTGATTATAACCTTGGCTCGAGTGAAAGACAGAGTGCTTGTGTGAGGGAATCATTCCTCTCTGCCCAGAAGCACGTCCAAGGTAAATTGATTTAAAGAAACACTATATGATCTTTATATAGTGCGCAAAAGCTTGTTCATATATGCAGTATTTTGTTGCAGCAGCGCGGGATCGTAGCAGCTGTGAAAACATATCAATTGTGGTTTGTTTTGAAGACACCCTGATACTAATCTCAATAAATTTGCTAATTATGAATATGAACATGCGTGTGTTCAGCTGCACTGGTGTGCATTTCCCCTTTTGAAGGCACAGTGGGCATACCTCTCCCACAAAACAAATTATTATGTATTAATAGACACTTCGCAACTGTACGTGCCAAAACAGTGGACGAAAGGGCCAGTTCACAAGTTGACAGACGTCCCTTTTTCCGCGGCATGTATTGGTGTCCACTGTTAAGCAAAACCAGGCTAACATTTGAGAAGGCGATGCAAACAAGGTCCTAATGCGCTCTCTCTTTTTTATCTATTATTCGAAGCTCGAAAGCTCTACAAGGTATAAAGATAGAATTTTAGAACGTAAACTAAGTTACCTGGAGACACTGCAATATTTCGTTTGAAGTTTTACTTTTTAAGGCCCTCCTAATAAAGGATGTATCCCACTAAGGTGTTCTCAACCTACCTTGTCACGTACTAGGTGTTGCTTATACAATAGCTTACGTACACTTATACAGAGAATGTTGTAAATGGCATGGGCTTTAGATAACTAAGTAGGTGTGATGATGACGTGACTTGAACCCTGTGAAACACAAGGACGACGCCGTGAGGATACAGACGCGGTAATGTGAACATAGGACGTTCTAACAACGTTAGCAAACTAAAAACTACTGGTGTTCTAGCTGCACAATGTGAGTGCTGTTGCTATAAGGCCGTTTTTCATGAAACTTGTGTAATCGCAAAAAAAATCAGATCACATTATTAAGCAAGCTGTACACCAGTTCAAAATTAAGGCAAGAAAAAAGTGTTTGAGCTTCCGATCTGCTTTGCTGTCTCAAAAGAAAATAGCGTTCTTGTCGCGGGGATTGTGACGCTGTCGCCCTGAATCGATGTTTTGGTGCGAAGGTGATTTTGACGTCATTGCTCTTTCTTCTGTACATATAGCTGCTTGTAGCACCATGCATCCGTACCTTCCATCTTGTATTCGTGCTGCTTGCGCTGAAACATAAGGAGCACACAAGGAAATTTATGAACACGTTACAGATTCACACGCAATTGAGTACATTTAGCCTGTTGTAAATTTTGTACGGTCCAGCGGCATAATGTAGACACAGTGGCACGTGGACAGCACGTCAGCCCCACGAGGACGCTGTTGGTAGGTCCAGGTAGCAATCAGAAAGAAGGCCCGGTGCTAGGAGAGGCGGTGACATTGACTCCATGCGTCTGCCCAGACAAGGATAGGGCGAGAATCTGGCTGAGCCTCAACAGAACGAGCACTTGCCGGCCGAACACCTGACCCAAAAACAGGGCGAATCAGAAATGCGAGTCTTCAGAACCAGAAGAGCTTCCACGACTGGAGGTCTGGGTCACACGCGGTCAGCTCAGCTAGCGACATTCCCAACCTTGAAGGGCGAGCGCCGGGCATTGCGTCTTATTTTCTGAATAACCACGTTACAGACGCTATTTCAGCCACGCACTTCAAATCACTGGAGTTTCCATGACATTGATATTTGCCGGGGTCATATATTCGTAAATTTCTTACCATTTATTGTGTATTTCGGTGTTGCTGGTACCTTCAGGAAGCAACAGAAATGAGACCACTAATATATTGGTGCCAGGTTTGATATGGCCGGCCCAGACTGGCTCTATTCGGGATACTCGAAGGAGTGGGTGTAACTTTTCGTGAGCTCAAGCAATTAGCCCGCTTAAACCATCGAACTTTCTCCCTTCCGAAACCCTCACTTGACCAAGTCTGCCATCACCAACATAGAAGCGACCTTATTCTTTGTCCTTTGACGTCGGTTATTTCTCTCCAACACATCCCGATGACAGTGCACCTAAACAGTATAATGTCAACCAATCGAGCGGCTAGTGCTATTTGTAGGCAGTGGGAGTGTAATTGAAAATTGTAGCAGCATTTGAGAATGAGCGTCATTTTGTGAAGCAAAACCACAGTGTTTATGAAAATAACTTTGAAGCGTGTAAGCTTGGTTACGTTGGTAGCTCATGTTCACGCTTATAGCACGTTGAAACTACTAGAAAGGAAGAAAAACTACACTCGCTTTTCTCAACCTTCTTTGTCGAGTGCCTTGAAAAGTTCATCTACAAAAAAGGCCGTTGGAGTCGATTAGATGGCCATGCATCTCGGACTTCTCAGTCGGATGGCTGCACTAGGGTCCGAATTGTAGACACGTTGTTCTTTGTTGACTGATTCTGTTGCAGAGCTTGTTGCTTCCGGTGATGTATTTAAAAACTTCTATTTGAGTACCTGTGCAAGAATGACATGCGAATATAAAAACCACAGCGTAGAGCTTTTTACAAATACCCCAAGAAGATCGAAGATGTCACCGACATGGTTGGCGTATGCGCTGAAAACATCCATAAAAACATTTGAAGTGAGCTAACTCTTCAATGGTGGTGCGCGTAAATCACCATTACGCGCTTTGTGGCGTTGTTTGCTTCTATGTTTTGGCACAGCCATTCTGCGGTGACGTAAATGAGGTGCTGAGATGAGAGGAGAAACAATGCACTGCCGATTCCTGAGGCTATACAGTCAACGCTTACTGAAAAAAAAACGAAAAACAGACTCGGATGGAAGTCTTGGTTGAAGTAGTTTGCCTTAGCATGAAAGTAATACCATTATTGGAGTGTGCTGTAAAATGATATCCTCAATAATGCCGATGAGACGTTTCACGAAAACAGCCTCAAATACATTTAGAAAATGTGCCACTATATGTGTATAGTGTAGTCGCGCCTGTAGCGCATGGTTATACAGAATAGTAAAGCCTAGCTTAGTGTAATAAAATTTTCTCATTTTTTCATAGTGCTCATTCAACCCACAGAACCCGATGAGAACCTAAAAAAACTCTCTTCGCTAGTTATTTAAAAATGACAGAAAAAACAAACTAGCGGACAATCAACTTTGATGAAATAGTTTTGTAAACAGCGTGTTACACTTACGTTTGATACACGTGCCTTTGTCTGTATAGAGTGGCATGTCATAGAGTTTGTAGCTGAGTGATTGCCTCGTGCAGAAAATACACGCTGCTCAAAACATGCCCACGTAGCCAAATAGAGAAATGCACAGTGGTCCGCATTTACAATTACAGTTCGTAAACTTAACGAACTTGCGTGCAGTAAATGTAAGCAACCGGCGGTAAAACGAAAGCGATGGTTAAAACACAGCATGCTGGGCCGAAATGTATCTGAATGTTTGCAGATATTCTATAGAAGGTGTTCAGTATCATTGAATTGAGAAAAATTGCTGTTCGTGTGAAACAAGTAAGAGTATATTCTATGTGATGATTCTAATAAACTTCATGAGGCATTAAATTTTTTTTCAGGCATGTACATGGAACTTCGTGTGAAAACGTCGATGGTTGGAAGCGTAGACAAAGATTGTATGAGCGAATATCTTAAGGTAACGCTAAACTCCACTGTTACAACGCTGAATAACAAAACCTGTCTACAGGCTCGCCAAGGTTGAAATGAGATTTTGCTTAGAGCCACAAAATTGACAGCACAGTAATCAACAACATAAACATAGCCATGTCTTGGTACATGTGCTAAATTTTTACAAAGGTGAATGTCAACAATGTTCTATAAACACAGCAGTGAACCAATAAACGTTATGCGCAGTGCAAGTTCCCATTCTTCATCACGATAGCTTGGCCAAAACGATTACTTAAACTGAATATTTACAATGAATGAAAAAAAATTCGTCGTTTACTTGCTGGTTTAAACTATACTTGCGCTGTTTGGCAATGAATGAAAAGAATCTGGGCTGTGCTGTCACGTTGAATCACAATGTCAAGAATGAGAACACTGTGTTGACAGCGCTGACAAAAGAACACGGCTGGTGAATTTGTCATAAGAATCGGTATAACACGAAAGTGCAACGTGCGTTACAGACATCGTTTAATATTTCGAGTGCGTTGATATACAGGGTGTTTTAATAAATGTGTCCAATATACTTAAATATCAGGCAAATGTGCTATTTCATCGATGTCTTCACTGTTGCTTTTTCGTGTGGGGGCAGGCATCTTCAGAAAGTTCAATATATCATTTCTAATCGTAATTAGAAAACCTAAGATAATGAACTTTTTACATAATAAAGTTAGGTTTGAAATAAAATACTTCATGAAGGAGAACTGAACTCCTTCATGCGAAGAACCAATTGCTGTTTGAGATTTCGGAAAAGCGGCCCGGTCTGTAGCAATAACTGCGAAATAATAAAATTCTTCTCAAGACTGCGCCTAAACGAAACCGAAATGCGAAAGAGCGCCACTCAAACGAGAGAGCGTTGTTATATCAACCATCAACCAACTTCATTGTGTGGGTGTGCGGGCTGCTTTCACAACTACAGCATGCATTACGCACATTTGCTATCAAACGAGAAAGAACTGCACTTTTGTGACCACTGTTTTGAACATTGACGTTATTGTAGTCGTGGGCTTGCCAAGCTTTTCGGTCCATTGGTTTTGGTTTAGTTGCAGGATTTAGAAGACTCGCATCACTTCGTTGTTATTCCTACTGGTCGCTTTCTGCAATCCGAAGGTGCCAATGGGGTTTTCGTATCAAAGACTTCAATTCTTTCTTTAACCTGAGTGTTGAACTACACAAATAATAAGTTAATTACCATTCCTAATTACAATTCCATATTACGTTTTCAACCTTCTTAAGGTGACTGCCGCCACAAAAAAGCAACTGTAAAGACAGCATGCAAATAGCAGTTTTTGCTGATTTTTACACAACCTTGGATACACTTCTGATCGATATGCAGGGTTAAAGTCCCAAAACCACCATATGATTATGAGAGACGCCATAGTGGAGGGCTCCGGAAATTTCTGCCACCTGGAGTTCTTTAACGTGCGCCCCAATCTGAGCACACGGGCCTACAACATTTCTGTCTCCTTCGGAGATGCAGCCGCCGCAGCCGGTATTCGATCCCGTGACCTGCGGGTTAGTAGCCGAGTATCTTAGCCACTAGACCACCGTGGCGGGGCTTTCGACATATTTCTTGAAACCTCCTGTATAAAGGCTAGTACAAATACTACCATCACTTAGTGTGCACCCACTGACCTTGGCACCTACAACAGTGCGTTTCCGTTCTAATGGGTGACGCTTATGATCGCAGTTTAACCTTTGTGGTAGCCTCAGTTCCTAACATATATCTGGACACCACGCATGGTGCATCGCATGCAAACGTATCGGTAACATGCGCTTAAAAGACACTGCTACTCGGTACACTCTCCTCCGATGAGCCGTGAAAGCAAAGAGAAAGGCGACGCACGCCGTGTGTTCCCTGCAGCGCGGCCGTGATTTTTCAGAGGACGAGCGTGAAACGCAATGCGACAACCAGTAGAGCATCAGATACCTGTATTTAAATATGGATGAGTGTTATGAGTGAGATTTGGGTTAAAGACACAGCCTCGCGATTAGTCTAAACGTTGAGAATATAAAGTTCCATTGGAAAGAGGCTGAACGGGATGATATTAGCAGTGGTGCGTTCGCAGAAATAATCGTCGCAGCCATGTATAACTTCATTTTTCCGTTTCTTGTCAGCGACCCTGCAAAAAAGCACTGTGAAGGAGATGAAAGGCGCGTTGTTATAGCACTTCCAAAGTTTTCGGGTGGCGTAGTGGGTTCGACGCTAAGTATTTCTATAACATATTCCCGTAACCACAGTACGTCATTAAAGTTTTGGTGGAAACCAGCGTAAAATACTTTCGTGTTAACAAAAGTCACAGCTTTGTTGCAAAAGGCGAAGCAGTAAACGCGGTAGCAACAAATTGGAACGTCACGTGCAGAATGGCAAACAGATAGGAATGTGCGACGCGTTTCTCACAAACAAATAACGCACGAAGCGTACTCAGAGGTACAGATAAACGCGAATAAACGTCTCAGCTGTTACTTCGCAGTGTCTGAAAAGCGTGCTCTTTTTGCAAAAGGAGCCTGCAACGATTGCAGTGATCTTTGTGCGCCCGATAACTATAACAAAATTGTTACTGTGAATACTTAAGGAGAGCCAAGACATAAGATGCTCCCAACCATGAGATAAGGGTGCGCGAGGGTGCGTTCATGAGCTTTACGACCACCCACTCCTTCCGCGAGGCTAAGTAGGCGTGGGATGTGAGGGTGCGCGCCGCTGCGCGCTCATTGCGCCGTCTTGCTGGTAATACTGAAAACAAAATAGTTCCGCGTCGAGATGCCCATCACCAGCGTTAAGTGGTAGATGTGAACAGCTTCTCGTGTGCACGTTAAAAGACGTGCTTCTCGGTAACTAGTGGTTAACGCATCGCATTTCGATTCTACGCGCTGCGGTCTTTTTCTGGATTTTTTTTCTTTCTTGCATTTTCATAAATACCTATTTGTATACATATATGGTGAGTGACGCCTACGTCGACGCCGACGCTGACGCAGGCCACAAAATCCAACCGAGAGTGGCTCAATAATTATCACAACAAAAAAGCGAGAAACGATGTATGTAGCGCACGCGAGACGCAGTACCCATGTATATGTGAGAATTCTGAGAAGCTACTATACCGAGTTTCATACCATACATCAGGTGCAAGGCTGTGGAGGCTAGCGAGACTTATTCAAAATATGGAGTAGAGCACTGCACCAGCCCGCGCCCGCCCCATAGCCGGAATTCGGCCCGGCCTGCGGTCCACGCCGCGCCAGGTAAGCCATTGTTGGATCGGGCCTGGGCTGGGGTCTGGCCCTTGAGCGTTGGACTCGGGCCGGGCCTGATTCAGGCCCCTATTAGGCTTTCGTATGATACATATCGGTATAACGGGGAGTGTACGCTGTTTTAGTGTTTTTTGAACTTGTTATTCAACTTATTAGGTTGACTGAAAAGCTCACGTCTCCTTAAGTGAAGCGTATGAAGCACTAGAATGTTCCTTATCCACGTCAAGTGACCTTACACACAGACGTTAGCCCTGTTGAAAGTTCGCTTTTTATTGCTTTCAACCTTCTCATCCCCACCATAGTCGCTGCTTTTCCTTTTCGCCACACACCCCTTCAGCTTCAGTTCGGCGGCCCCGAGCTGCAAGCCTGTAAACAACCATGAGTCACAAACAGCCAAACCACGCTTTCATGTATGCATCAAGGCCTCCGGCAACCGGTGACTAGGGTACTCAGTTTTGCGCTTTCGGTCCTTGCGGGCGATTGTGCTCCAGACATCTGAAACGCACCGTTCAAAAGAGAGCTATATAAATTCGCCCACTGGTTCATGTCGGTGTCCTCATGGAGAGTTGTTTTGGAAGCTCTTAGTTGAATATTTATTTAGCACATAACACTTCCGAAAATTGAAAGCTGGTAAACATGCAACGGGTATGGCTCGCTTTGCAGATTTATGGCACTGTGGTGGCGGTGACTCGAGAAGAAAGGCAGGTCAGAGAACTTTATTATTTTGGGCGTAAACGTATACGCGTAGTGTACGTTGGCGACAGCTGCCTGCAGAAGAGTCGACGCAACAACTTTATTTTTATGTCACGCTGCCTAGCTCGCAAGCAATTTATGTAGACTCAAGCTATAAATTTGTGCAATTTTTCCCACTTTATAGGGGTAATATATATTGTAGGTATTGTTTGAAATGCAAAATGAGGTTGCGTGCTCATCTTCGAGAGAGAGAGAATTATTTTATTGGGAATCTGGAGAGGTTTGCCTGGTTTTTCACCTGACAGGGTACAAGAGTTCCGACGTGATGGCAGTGATATATACAATGATAAATACACAACACCTACAGTTAAATACACGCATAACAGCCACATAACACATAAAGTCACTCACACGCACTGCACCATTTACAACTTTTAGTTCAAGCCTGCGGCCCATAAGAACGTCGATAGTGCTTTTGTTGAGTCTAACGCACAGGAGGTGTTCTGCCATGGGCCTAGAATATTTTTTAACTCCAAATTTGTGTCCTGTTGCATTTTTAAGCGCATCTTCGGAGACTGCCTCTCTGATGCGTATTTCGTACACTCACAGAGGACATAATTGATGTCTTCAATGACGTTACATTGGGCACAAAATGCTGAGTCGGACAGTCCAATTTTGTTCCTGGAGTAGTTCGTATATGCAATGTTTATTCGGATGCGGTGTGAACACGTTTCATTTTGCCTGTTGAGATTTCGCTGCATCCTGAAGTCACACGATGAATCAATCTTGCACAGAGGCCCATACTCTTGCTTAGGGTCTGTCCAGTGGGATCGCTGGAGGCGCTAGGGGTGTGCCGACACTAGCGTTGCTGCCTCTTGCCTCGAGAAAGGTGTCTGGCTGATTTCTGCTGAAGTGTCATGTCCTGCTTTGGCAGCGTCATCAGCCCGGACGTTGCCTTGTATTCCGCAGTGGGCAGCTTTCCACTGCAGAATAATGCGATGATGGAGGTCACAGGCTTTTTTCCATAGGCGATTGATGTCCATGAGAAGTTGGTCCTGTGTGCATGGAGATTTCAGCGACTGCAGCGCTGCTCTTGAATCACTGAAGATGACCCAGGACTCGGCTGTTTGGTCAATGGTGTAATTATTGGCTGCCCGCCGTGCAGCCTGTTCAATGGCTGTAGGTGAGGTGCAGTGGCTAAGAGTGGCAGAGATGGTAACTTTGGCAGATGGAATCCAGACGCCTAAGA